TGACTCCTCCCCCTGGAACTATGGGAATACATTGACAAGAACCTGGCCAGGGGATTCATCCAGCCAGCACGTTCCCAGATTGCTGCTCTACTGTTCTTTAAGGCAGTGGTTGCCAACTAGTGGGCCATGGCCCACTGGTGGCCTGCGAGAAAATTTTGGTGGTCCACAGAGAAATGTCACCCCCCCAGAGCACCCCCCAAAGCAATTATTCCAGGCTGCGCAGGAACACAAGGCTGCACTGCCCACATGGCCCGAGGGAACCCTCCTCGCCCACTTACTCCTTACCTGGCAAACTTGCCTGCTAAATTGCTATTTTTCCTTTTTCCGACCATCAGCTGTTCTGCTGTGCTGGGAGATTTAGATTAGCTAGAAAGCAGGAAATCGTTGGATTTCTTGCTTTCTAGCTAATCTTTAGATCTTCAGCTCTGCTTTTAAGCAGAGCTGAACCTTCCTTAAAACTGAAGCAGTGCAGACTCAGCTAGCCGATGGCAGAAACACAGATCTCTAAGTGAATCTGATTCTGTGAGCAACTCAATCTGCCTGCCTGCTTTGCCTGATTTTGGGTAAAAGTTGCTCTTTTTTAAAATAAAAAATTCAATATTTACATACATGGTGTGTTGTGAATTAATTTTGTGAGTTTGCTTACTATAAAATTTTATGAGTTTGCTTGCAAGCAAATTTTATGTGACAGACTCAGCTAGCCGATGGCAGAAAGATAGATCTCTGAATGAATCTGTGATTCTGTGAGCAACTCAATCTGCCTGCCTGCTTTGCCTGATTTTGGGTAAAAGTTTTTTTATAAAAAATTCAATATTAACATAAATATTTATAATGTTTACATACAAGCCATGCCCAGCCAGTCACATGACCACCAAGCCACACCCACAAATTAGGCCACACCCACAGAACCAGTTGTTAAGAAATTTGAATCTCATCCCTGCCTCTGTGTGTTTGTGTGTGTGTGTGTGTGTGTATGTGTGTGTGAGAGAGAGAGGGAGGGAGAGAGGTTAGATTAGATCTCTCTCTCTCTCTCTCTCTCTCTCCCACCAACATCAGCAAGCCACCGTCAGTCAAAATTCATATTAGTGATCCCCAGGATTTAAAATTATGAGTTTGGTGTTCCCTGAGGTCCAAAAGGTTGGCGACCCCTGGTTTAAGGAGAAAAAAGATGGATCCATGCTCTTGTGCATCGACTTTTGGGGCATAAACAGTATGTGTATTTAAAACATGTACCTGCTACCCCTGATGAAGGACATGTTGGCCCAATTGGCTAGAATAACATCTTCACTAAGTTGGACCTACAGGAGGCATACTAGAGGGTTTGCACAATGGATGGGGACGAGTGGCAAATGGCCTTCAACTGCCCCCTGGGGTGCTACCAGTTCAAGGTGATGCTGTTTGTGTTGCAGGGGGGGGGGGGGCTGCAGTGTTCATGCAACTTATCAATGAGGTCCTGCATGAGTACCTGTACAAGGGCATATTGGTCTATCTGAACAATATTTTAGTTTATACAGAGAGAATGGAGAAGCACTTTCAACTGGTTCAGCAGTTGTTGAAAAAATTATTCATGGCACATCTGTATGTAAAACTGTTTAAGTGTGTGAGGTTCATTTTGCCAATTTGGACTATTTGGGTTTCCGGATATCTAGTGGAGGAGTGATGATGGATCCTGCCAATGTGAAAGCTGTCCTGGAGTGGCAGGCTTCCAGGACGTGTAAGCAATTGCAGAGCTTCCTGGGCAGGGGTGGGATCCTATCAGTTCGGTCCAGTTCTATAGAACTGGTAGCTCCAAAGAGCAACTGACCTCAAACCGGTTCACTGGGATGAGGTTTTGGTCTGCTGTTTGGCCCTCCCGCCCACCCGGGCTCTAGGCTGTCCTTTAGTGGCTGCGTTTTCCTCCTCAGCTGCTTTGCACAGCACAGCTGAGTGCCGCTCATCAGCTGGAGAAGATAAATGCTTGCCAGAGCTGGTAGTGCACACTCATATGCTGTGTGTGCTTGACGCACATGCGTGCGCTCCCTGAACTGGTTGTTGTGCCAGTTGGATTCCACCCCTGTTCCTGGGGTTTGAAAACTTCTATAGGCAGTGTATACCCTCATTTGCCGATCACCAACCTACTAAAACCAAAACCTGCTGTGACCAAACCCCAGCCCAACCAGCCCCTTCAGTGGACTGTGGAGTGCCAGTGAGCCTTTGAAACCCTTAAAGGCCTGTTTGCCCAGGAGCAGATCCTCAAGCACCCCGATCCTGAATAACCCTTTGTCAACTATATGTTCCCAGTGTACTAAGAACACAGGTGCTGCAATGCTGCCACGATGTCAAACAAGCTGGTCATTTCGGTTTCCTGAAGACACTACACCTGGCCAATAGGCAGTTCTGGTGGCCATGGATGAAAAAGGACATTGAGGCCTATGTAAAAAGTTGCCTGACCTATGCTGCTATGAAAACCAGGCCGGGGAAACTGCCAGGCCTGCTGCAGCCGGGCCTGCTGCAGCCGGTTGCCAACACTGTTAGGCCATGGGAGGAGTTCACCATGGATTTTATTTGGACAGGAGCACAGTTATCTGGACAGTGATAGATCTGTTTTCCAAGCAGGCCCACTTCATCATGTATCCAGGCTGGCTCTCAGCTTGAAAGCTGGCCAAATTGTTCCTGATGCATGTCTACTGGCTACACGGGGTATCAAGAAGGATAATATTGGACCAAGGAGTCCAATTTATGGCCAAATTTGGGGGGGGGGGGAGTTTCTTCAGGCAATTGGTTCCTCACAAGGCCTCAGCTGAATACCAACGGAGCTGCGGAGAGAGCCAATGCGATGGTTGAGCAGTATCTCTGATGTTACATTACCTATCAGCAGAATGATTGGGCCATTCTGCCATTCACAGAGGTGGCATATAGTAATGCCATACACAGCAGTATGGGGCAAAAATCCTTTAAGGTGGTACACAGGGTGGGCTTCATCCCTATTCCCAAGCTCCCTAGGGAAGGCTCCTCATTAGGCACCCTGATGGAGTGGATGGACAACCTGTGGGGAGTTTGGGGGAATGTCAAGCAAGCATTGATAAAAGCAGCTGAGACACAAAAACTCCAGGCGGATAAGAAAAGGTCACCACAAGAGCCATTCTGCATAGGGAAAAAGGTATACCTCACCACAAAATACCTTAAACTGAAGCTGCCTTGCAAAGATCTGGGTCCGAAATACCTGGGTCCATTCCCCATAGTCAGAATAATCAACCCCGTGGCAGTGCAGTTAAAATTCCCACTCCTACTGGGGAAGGTCCATCCAGTCTTCCACAGCAGCCTGCTGAAGCCAGTGGTGGCATCAAACAGTAGACCCTCGACCCCACACCCGCCCAGACCCATAATGGTGGATGGGGACATCCAGTATGAAATAGGTTTAAGTATTAGATTCTCGGGTGTAAAGGGGGATCCTGCAGCACTTGGTCTGTTGGAATGGTTGAGGCCTCATGGGTGAGGAGCCGAGGCATACAGGCTGAAAGACTGATCAAAAGTTTCATAAGGAAAATCCCTTCACCCAGGGTGGGCCACGGGTCCACTAATCTGTGTATGTGCTTGATCTTTTCCAGATACGTAGAGAGGGCGTCTTGTCAATGTCCAAAACTGCGCACCATTTAAAGTTGCCACAACACGCCATTTCGGAGTTGCCACACACATGTAGGGGGAGGAGGCTGCATGGGATCACAGATGGGTGTTGGGTGATGGGACTCACGCTGGGAGAGGAGCCAGGAAGGCAAGCCAGCTGCAGTCAGTTCAAAAGCCATCCAGACCTGCTGGAACCAGCCAGGGAGCAACCGGGCTCAAAGAGTACTTGCTGGAGCCAGGCCCCAAAAATACTTGAGTGAGCTGGCCAGGGAGCAACCAGACTCTCTATATAGCTGGCTAGCAGAAGCCAGTAATGCTGGCTAGAAACCCTTTTACTGGTATTGTTCACCACATGCCAAGCTGAGATTCCAGTAAAGAGACCCATTCTGTTTACAGTGTTGCCTCTTCTTTTGCTGGCTTGGTTTGGAACCATGACAGCCCCATTTTGGGCCTGGACAACCTCCTGGAGCACTCCAGAGGCCTTGTTTTGGGCCTGGAAGGCCTCCTGTAGCACTCTGGTGGTCAAAACTGCGGGCCCCTCCAAACACTATTTTTGCTAGCAGAGACACTGCAGGCCAGTCCTTTGCTATTTCCAGGCCGGCCCCACAGGCCAGATCTAAGCACCCTGTGGGCTGGATCCAGTCTGCAGGCCTTTGAGCTTGACACCCCTGTCCTAGATGCTGCCATTTGTAAAGTTTTGGGCACCAAATGGTTGCATGCCATTGATGTATTGAATTGATGTATTGATGAGTTATCACGTAATACCCTCCTCAAGGCACTGTCAGGTCCCATGGTTCTCTATTGGGACATTGCCATTCTGGTGGAAGGGGGGAGGCTTGGAGGAGATTCTTTGCATGGGGTTTCATTTCCTTTGCTTTGCTGTACCTTGTGGGAAATAGGGCGGGGGAAGGAATGTTCCTTGGCTCATCTTAGGGAGGGGTAGAAGAATGTGCTTTGAGCCATCTGCTTTATGTCACCATTGGAGAAAACGAAACCAAAGCACCTGGGAGTTGACAGTTATCATCTTTTCTGCCTGAGGTTCTCAAAACATCTTCGCATCTTGAGATTGGCTCAATGTTGGACATTTGGAGGGGCTTTGCTTGTAGCGGTTTAACCTCACGCTTAGATCCTGCCTACATTTCCTTTGTTATCACTGTCTTTCAATAAAAGTTCCTTTTGAAATGATAATCATTTCAAGAGTTCTGCTTTCTTGAGAAAACTGGAGAGGCAGGACCTTATAAGCACTCTTAAATATTTGTTTATGACTCCGTTAATTGGCTAATTGCAAGAAATTCCAGAAATTCCACACTCAATTACCAAAGCAATATTTTTAGTTGAATAAAGTAATGTTACTTTTTTAATTTTTATTTGACACTTTTTTCTTCTGATTTCAATAGGCAGTTTGAAATTATTATTCCAGCAGAAGATTCTGTTATTACAGAGATGACTTCCACTTTAAGAGACTGGGGAACAATGTGGAAACAGCTTTATGTGGTAAATAAATCATTATTTTTCAATAAAAAATATACTGTATTTGTGTATACAGTACCATGGAAATTCGGGTCATGAACACTTCTGTTCGTGATCAAATCAGGTGACAACCAAAAATTTGGGGAAATAGTCGCTTCTAGTCGTGAACAGATCTTCAGGTGCTGATCAGTACAGCCGCAGCGATTTCCCCTGCCTCAGCAATTTCCCCTTCCACGCATGCGCTGAACTATAGGCACATGCGCAGTCAGTTTCGCTTCTGTTCGTGACCAAATCGGGTTGCAATCAAAGTCCTGGAACAGATTACGGTCGTGACTCGAGGTTCCATTTTACTGCTTTTTGACAATATGTTCACAATACTTCAAAACAGAATATGCAACAGAAGAAAACAATGTAATCTTATCTGTGTTGAAGAAACATATGCAGTGTATAATATCAAAAGAAAGCATAACAATGGTAATGGGCAAGCATTATAAGATCTTTTAAAGAACTTCAGAGTATAGTAAAATAATTTTTAGAATCAGGTGCTGGAAGAAAAGGCTGAAATCCCCATGGCTCATGTGGTGATCAATAACTATCATTAAATATCAAGAGGTTTCTCTATGATTCTTTAATGATCCAACTTTTAAAAATCCATTTAAAAAATAAATTTATTTTAGAAAAGATTATGTATGCCTCATCTGGGAATTTTTAGGGAGACAGATATGCAAGATAAATTTCTTAGGGTGTAACTAAAACATTTATTCATGGGTTACATATTTGTGATATGGGGTTTACTGGTTTTCTTGCTTCTGTAGTAACATTGGATAGAATACACAGCTCCACTCTGGTTCCCCCATTCTTTTTTTTTTTCCCAATAAAAGTTTTTTTATTTTTATTTTTGCCACATCTCTTCATGAGCAACGTGATTCCAGATTACAACATTTATACATAGTCATAATTACATTTTCAACTTTCTTATTTAATATCACATCAAATTATTATCTACTCCACTAATCTTTAAATAAATTTCCATTTCATATTTCAATTCATTAATTCAATATCAAAATCATTTCCTCACATATATCTTCAATTCTTTATCACCTATTATTTCCATTTTCAGCTTACCACCTATTTTATTTTACATTGTACATTGTTATCTTTATTAGCTTTCTCAAGACGGATATATAGTAAACAATAAAAAGAGTAAAAATAAAGTAAAATTAATATATATAGGATCCACATGGTATATCCCCCAATCTACAACATATCTTATATTTATTCCAGTGATATTCATATAACCATTTCATATTTTTTCTTTGTTTTCACTTAGCCAAAATTTACCCATGTAATTTGAATAAATTTCCAATCCCCTATTTTTAATTATAATACTCTCATTATAAATATTTTACATTTCAGTACGATCCCTTCTAACTCATCATATTTTTTATTTTCTATCCTTTATTTAATCAGTTATATTTTCTATTTCATGTATAAAACGAAAGAAAAGAAAAACAGAAGATTAAGTTTCCCTTTTTACTTCCCTTTAACCAATTTTAATCTATAAAGTTTATATAATTCACACTTTTAGTCATAATACCATATTTTCACCCAGTTTATCATAATCACTGTTTTCCTAATGTCATTTAAACAATCAATTGCATATTTTAGGATATGTATATATAAAAAAGAACAGATTAATAACAATAGAACCCTCTTAATGTCTCTCACTCTATCTTCGCTTTTCTCATATATAATTATATAATACTCTTAGGGTAATTCCCAGTAAATGTTAAACTTCAAATCTCCCCATATTTTCTAATAAAAAATACCAAAATACATTCCCATGTGGTATCCCCCTTTTATACTATATCTAACCCTTATCTCTAAATCTCTTGACCTTGTCATTTCTCTTAGTTTTAGCCAGCTTTCCATTTTCTAGGTTTTCCCGGTCTTTCCTCTTTATCCCTCATTTTTCCTGTAACATTGTTTTTATTTCCATCTGCCAGTCACCCATCATTTCCCCCGCCCTTTCCTGTTCTCTTTTTTGAAGTTTCTTCTTGTACAATTTCTTCTTTTGTTTAATCCTGGGAGCATTTTCTCTTTTATTTATTACCTCTGTCATCAGTGTCATAATTTTGGTTCCTTAAATATCTTTTGGCAATGTCTCTTGTTCTCCATGCTCATCTGAGCCACTTTCCTCTTCCTTTAACTCCTCCTCTCTAGGGTTCCTTTGTTCTTCTGTGAACTGCATCGCCATTATTTTTTTTCGCCAGTATATCCAATAATCCCATTCTTTCTTTTAGCATTCCTCTCACATTTTGCAGTTCCGACTTAAATTCTTTGCTTATTTCTTCCATTTTAAAAAAATCAATTGAGTTATTGAAGTTCAAAGATTTTTATTGCAATCCTTGCCAAAAGTTTCCATTTGTCTCTATTTCCCTTATTAATCCTTCTGTCTCTTTGTCACAGTCAACACCCAACAGTCCCAAGATATTGCATTCGTTTATCCACTTGCTGCAGTTCCCCCCCCCCCTTTTTTTTTTTAGGTTTCCAGAGTTCTTGCTATGTTATAGTCTTTTATCTCATATCTTTTCTCGTTCACACATTTATAAGACCAGTGGTTTTCCATAAAATGATAAAGGAAAACAGTCTTTAACCATTAGATGGCGCTTATATCACTTTCCGCTTTTCAAAGTTCTTTTCTCTTTTCAATTATATTAACGTTAATTTTCAACCATTTCAATCATTGGCTTTTTCAAATATAATCAATTCCAGGCAAGTCTAGCATTCTATCCAATGCCTAATTAATGCCAAATTCTATATATTATTCCAAATTTCGTCTCTAATTTTGTTGTAGCTCTTTTATAATCTGGTTTTTGTTTACCTTATATTTTCCTCTTATTTTCCATTCGCCGCTGTCATACTCTTAAGTGAGAGTTCTTTCTTTCTGCTTCTTGGGGTTATTGAAAAAAGGTTCAAATTCTTTTATCTGGTTACACGGCACTCACCACTTCACCACTCCAGCAGACACTTAGGTCCCGGCAGCTTCCCCTCTTCAGGGCAGCCATTAAACTTCCACTTCTCCCTGTCTTCCAGGGGAGTATGCCTAGCCAGGGAGGGGAGATGCGGCTCCTCTCAACCCAGCTGGCAGTCTCCCCCTCTTCCCCCATCCCTCCGAGGTGGGTCAGATGGATCCGGTCCCGTAGGGACCCTTCCAACAGGGTAAGCACGGATCAAAGCCTCACACAATCGCGGTCTCTGGTTCATCATCAACGGAAGTGCCACTGGAAGTCTGGTTCCTCCATTCTTCTTAAATGTGGAAAGAATCAATACATGAATAAATTATAACTTTTTTTATTAGAATGTTTTTGTCAACAAGCATGTTTAGACCCCTTTATTCAAAGTTTCTAAATTCAGGTTCTATTCACCCATAGAAAGAACTCCGAGGCAGGCAAATTCCTCAAATAACAGTTTTATTGGATGTATCATATTAACTGGTGAAAGCTGATTCTAAAAGTTCCCTCGGCTTTCACCTAATTAAAAGTAAAAGTTTCCCCTTTCCCCCAAGTCACTGGTCATGCTGTCCAATCCAGGTGCTTGCCGGTTGCTTGGTTATTTCATTCCTCCTCTGGCTAGCCACCTGTGAGAATGTCTTTGAAAAGCTTTATTGTTTTGGCTACAAAACCCCATCTAACTATTTTCCCCCTCCCTCTGTTATGTGGCAACCCTGAAGCCTCCAAGATGGCCTCATCCAGGTTCGATTCAGGGTTGACATCAGGCGTGAATCCAAGATAGACATCTAAGTAAATGCAACCTTATATGTATACACACATTCCTTACAGAAGGTTTTTATATTTAGCTGCTGTCCAAACAAATATTGGCTTATTTATTAAAAACATACTGTAACTTTAGAAAGCAATTCACAAAGTGAGTTACGATTGTTCCTTTAAGTAGTTGCTGTTGGTAACCTGATGGTGGAAAGTTAATAGTGATTTGATGGTGGACTGAGAGGGGTAAGGAAGACCCCTAGATTGATCTCCAATTTCTATAACAAGTCGTGATTGCAGTCAAAGCAGACTATATTATTTGTGGAACAGCATGTAGATTCTTAGTCCAGAAAGAAGAACTGAGAAGGATCACGACTCGTATATGAATAGTACACATGGATTTTAATCAATACTTTATATGATATTTTCTTCCACTGATTTTGATTATAGAGACATTTTGATATTGCCAGTATCAAAATGAAACAGATTATATGCAGCTGAAGACAAGGCCTGCCTGTAGATCAGACCTTTTAATATGCCAGTCATTTGTGTCATAGTATGGATCACATTTCTGTTCAATGTGATATAATAGTTATCTCAAAAGATGCTGAGCTGTTTATGGTGCCTGGGAGTCTGTATATTGGTATTAATTTTAAGACTGAGATTGAGTAGCTCAAACAGAATAATCTTCCCCATTTCTTTAATTGCTGTTAAACAAGAAATAATGCTAGATTTTTATCAAAGTGTTCTCAGTCAAAAGTCTCTGAAGATTCTCAGTCATCCAGGTCACGGTCCCAAAGGTGCTTTTTCAAGAGGCAATTGGACTTTTTGGTTTTTCTTTGAAGATGCTTTGCTTCTCATCCAAGAAGCTTCTTCGGCTCTGATGAGAAGCGAAACGTATTCAAAGAAAAACCAGAAAGTCCAGTCGCCTCTTGAAAAAGCACCTTTGGGACATCTCAGTCAAAAGCTGTTGTAGAACTGTCTCACCTTTTAGGAGATGCTAGACATTGAACACAATAATGAATGTGAGGTACTAAAATATTTATCCACTTTCTAAAAACAAAGAAATATAGAATGCTGCCTTATTTCCTTGTTAAACCAGTTATTTATTTAACCTGGCATTCACTATATTGGCTCTAATATATGAGTCTTCCCCAGATCTTCTTCCATATAGATTTTATTCAGTATTATGAAGGCATTGAACTTTTATTCTGAACTGTGAGCTGAGAAGTATGTATTTGCCTTTGAAAATTGTAATGCTTAACATATTTGTCACTTCCTATAATAATTTGATCTGTCCAGAAGTAAATGAATGAGGGAATAAGTTTTTAAGGTAGTGAGAAAAAGGGGGAAGGGAAGGAAAGGAACGGAAGGGAGAGGAGGGGAGGGGAGGAAGAGGATTATTTATGGAATAGCCTACCTTTTATTTGCATTCAAATAAGAAGAAACTCACTATCAAAGCAAACTACCCTGTTTCTCCAACAATACGGCTTCCCCCAATAGGAAGTCCCAGCATGTTTTATAGGCATGAAATGAAATGAAGCCCCTCCCCCCAAATTAAGGCCTATATTAAAACATGTGAAATGGGGGGGAATGGTGGGGGGGGCTTGCTGTTAGGAAGTACTTTTGTTGCACACCCGGATATGGTGCTGCCTGCGTTGACCCCGATACGAAGTGCCCCACCAACACCGAGATCAACATCCAAGCCGTCACCACCCACCCGAAGATGCAAGGGGGGGGGGAATTAAGTCACCCCCGAAAAGACGGCCTAGCCATTTTTTCAGGGCTCAAAAAAAAAATAAGACCCAGCCTTATTATATGAGAAACACGGTATACATCCATAAATGTGTATTTAAATAAAGAAGAGTTTTTTTAAAAAGAAAAACATAATTTATTTTGACTATTTCCATCTTAATAAGCATGGTTTCCCCTCTTTTCCTGAATTATACTTCTGGAACAGCAACAGATTTGAATAAGCTACATGACTTTGATACTTCTGTATTTGACAGAGAAATGAAGGTGATCTATTTCATCGACTGTGGCATATAATGAATGAAATCTTAGATCTGCGACGGCAGGTGCTGGTGGGCCATCTGACCCTTGATCGGATGAAGGATGTAAAAAGGCACATTACTGCTCGCTTAGACTGGGGCAATGAGTGAGTAAGAGTCAATTGATAAAACTGTTACATTGGTTGCCATGTATTGTTACTTTAATGTTTATGGCAAGATGACAAAAAGGTAGTGGATTTTGCTGTGTGGTGACAGCTTGTTGCAAGTGGCTGTGACATAAAGAATAAGCAGCTTTTCAGTAAGAAGATTTAAAAAAAAATATTTATTGATGTCCTTAGGCTATTTAAACTCAACAGACAATTTCTAGTAAACCTCTTGCTTAATTGGAAGACAGTTCTTTACTTGCCAAAGTCTTCTGTCCATTTGAGACAATTTTGTAGGAGATCAGAAGAAGTTTGTCTTAAATTGTGAAGGCTGCAGGCAAAAAGAAATGGTAAGAAAAGTCCTATAGTTCTTTGAATGCTGCCAATTGCCTGAATTTATACCCTTCTTTGTTCAGTAACATAGGATGGCACCATGTTATGGTTTGGATGTTCCAGACAGACAATAGGAGCTGACCATGTAGATCTTTCTCATCATGTTGATACTATGCAAGGAAATCCTGAAAGATCATCATATCTGTTCTATAAAATAGTGTGTCCTTGATTTAACAACCAAATATATGTCCTTGACTTAACAACCAAATATTTAACAACCATTCAAAATTACAGTGACTCTGAAATATACTTTATGTTCCATAAAGCACTCCTGCCCAGCCATCAAAAAATGTGCTGTGTCCCTCCTCCCCGTCACATAATTGTGATCTCCGCCCTCCCCTGTCACATAATTGTGATCATATGATGACCATTTGTAGTCACCATCTGTTGGCTTCCCCAGAAAGTCAGTGGGGAGGCCAGGAGGGAAGTTTGCAAATTGCTGTGGCCTACTCTCTCTTGTCACTTGCTTACTGAGAACAGCTGAATTCCTCAGCCAGGGTGGAGGAATGGAGCTCATATCCTGAAGATCCAACCTCTATTCCTGCAATCCACCAGAGCAGTTCTTTTCAATGCATTGAGGGGAGACAAACTCCTCCTGGGGAGTGGAGAAACGAAGTTGAGATCATGAAGATCCAAGCTCTGATCCAAAAGCCTGATGGAACAGTTTCCTTCTGTGCACGAAGGAGAGCTGAACTGAAGCATGTAGCTATTTCATTCTGTCGGCTTAATGACCACAACCAGGATTGTAGTCAATGAGACACATCTCATTTAATGATCACTTCGTTCAACACCCAAGATTCTGGTCCAAATTGTGTTTGTAAATAAAGGACTACCTATCGTATGGGATTGTGCCAGGGGCAAAATGTTCCTTAGATGTCCCTAGGTGAAGAGGAACACTATTAGACCTATCTCAAAGACTTGCTATTTAATTTTCAAAAATAAATATTGTTCGTGCTTCTATTGCTTTTGGCTGATATTGCATCTAAATTTCATTTGTTCTGCTGCACTGAGTGAGATGAATTTCTATTTGGATAGAGTCAGAAAAAGTTACAAAGTAAGAAAAGTACCCGCTCACTTAAAGCATTCAAAAAATCTGTGTCTTTGCTGTTACCTGAATATTTGCTTGAAAACCTTGAATAAATCGGCCCACTGTTAGAATTGTTATGATAAACAAGTATTTGTTCATGTGTTTATGCTTACTAAATGCATTCCATATCAAAGTCTTTCACTTTGCTTATTACTGAATACATAACACTGTTAAATGTTTTGGAAAGTGAAGAATTCATAGAACAATATTTTGTTGGATATATTTTGAATGCTGCCAGGCATAGCTCCTGCTGATCTTGATAGTACCTTGCTGAATTTGAAAGATTAACTCGAGCCTCTAAAGAACAGAGCATGAAGCTTGTTGGAAAGAATAAAAACTGGGTTTCTCTTGATTGATAATCTTTGAAAAAAGAGCTGTCTATAAAAGATTCTGGTGCTTTCATTTCCTTTTAACATCTACATTCCAATAGTAAGGTGGTGGATGTACAGTTCCTTTGGTTCATTCTTCAAAAATGCCAAATATATTAGGACCATGTTTTATGTCTCTGTGATGTATGTTTCCTGACAGATAAATGGACAGGCCTTAAAAATGAACCATGTCATATGAGTAAATTTCTATTTCAGAAGTATGCAATCCAGAAATATTATCATTGACTTCTAAGATTTTTTTATTTTATTTTGCAGTCGAGCCCACTGCTCTGGATTATCTGATGATTTTACACCGAATATTCTAATCTGTTTACCTTTTTGAGACCAGCCAAGGTCAACTAGCTAGGAAAAAAGGGAAACAAATTAACTGTATACACATATATACAAACATACATACATACAAATATTTGGGAAGAACTGCATCTTCTTCCAGATCTCTGTCCCAAATGTGTGTTTGTACACAGCTGATTTGTTTACAGATAGATGATAGATAGATAGATAGATAGATAGATAGATAGATAGATAGATAGATAGATAGATAGAT